CCCAGTGTTCATGTATCATTTCAATCTAAATTATTCACTTTCTTCTTACACATTACATTTCAGCATAGCAGTTTAGCGTCAGCCCTTCAGCATAAAGCATTCCCACTAGCAATTTCTTCAGGAATTGCATTCTCTAGTTTTAAATGTATTCCCTTGCAGTAAAAAAAAAAGCGTAATCAAATTACTGATAGATTTGAATAAAAAGGGGATAACAAGCAGGATTACAATGTTACAATATATTTCAAAATAAAAAATACATATATTAAACGTAGACATACTGCTAGATTATTCTTTTTAGTCTTCATTTAGGCTAATTTCTTTATTTTAAATATCTATTTTCAAATGAAGTTTTTGAACACGTGATTTATTAAACAAAAATGCATTTGTAAACTATACTATTATGTAGGCCTGTCAAGAGGACATTATTTTCTTTCAATATCTTGGTTTCTTCCTTTCTGAGGTGTTCTGCTGTTTTACATAATACACTTACACTCTAAGTAAAATCGTATTGATATTTCTTTGTCTTTTAATTATTTGCATTGCATTTGATATTGAGGTAATCCAAAAGTAACGGAAAGTAATCAGGATATATTACTTTTATATTTTGTTACTCAGATTAGGTTACTGATTACATTTACAGGGTTATCTAGTAGCGGAATATCTTTTTAAAGTAACCCTCCCAATGTTGTATTGATAGACAAAATACTAATAGGTATGCACAAAATGTGTTCCCCAAACGTAATGTTCGAACCGGGAAAAGAAACAGGACACTATGCAGTAGCCAGAAAGTAATTAATCCGATGATATTTCACTTCAGGGCCATACTGTAAGCCAAAACATTAGGAAGCTCAATCTATTGTAAGACAAACAGACCCCCCCGGACTCGCCTTGCTGCTGTGGCGTTTCTTGCTGATGGAGGGAGACCCTGGCTGGCTGGAGGTGGCGGAGGTGGTGGGGAGCAGGCCGGAGGAAGAGGTGGAGGAGGGGGCCTGCTGCTGGGACACCTTCTGCAGCTCAGCTGCCAGCTGCTTAGGGTCAACACCTGGAGACCTGGGGGGTCTGTCACCTAGACACACAGGAGCATCAATGGGAGAGAAGATTGACATTTTAGTCACAGCAGCATGTTAAAACAAGGTATTAGACACAATGTGGAAATAAAGAGTAGAAATTAAACAAACATAAAATAGAAACATCTCAAACAATATACAGGTTCACAGTGAAAGATACAAATAGCTAGACTGTCAGTGGAAGGAATAGCATATTCAATTAAATATAAATGTAAAATGTATAGTGTGGAGACAAGTCCAGTTATAATTCCAGTAATCAAATAAGAAACTATGGAGCTGTGAGTTCTCTGCTAGCCAGATGTGAGATGTTATACAGAGTATAATTGTATTTCTCCAAATTCATGTTTATATCACAATTTTACAGTGGGGAAGTTCTGAGAACAATCTAATGGGGCGTGCTGCAGAAAGGGAAAATAGGCCACAAGTAATGCATGGCTGAACTCGAGAAAAGAGAGAATTGTAAATGAAAGCGATATGACAAGAGTGTCTAAAAATTGCAAGAGACAAACGTTAATTGGGAAATACTGAGAAGACAGGGATGGTGGTGAGGGAGAGAGGTACTGTAAGAAGCAGTGATGGGATTTTGAAGTTGCAGTTATAGAAATACTGTAGCTCACCTTTGCTGTGCTCCTGGAAATCCAGGTGATCAGAACCGTCAGAATCGGACAGCATGTTGAGATCACTGAAAGACATAAAGAAATAATGTGTCATAAAAACTCAAGTTACTATGAAAAGAGAAAAGAGTAGATGGGGGCATCAGGGGATGTACAGGCAGAAATGTAAAAAGAGAAATGACTGAATAAGGAAGATGGCAGATCGAGTAATAATTACAGTATGAGGAAAAATCAAACAGGAGGGAACTTATACTCACAGTCTGACACACAATTCTGCTTCATTGCACGGCTGCCCGACGAGCCCTTGAACCTCTTCATAGGTTTTCCCCGTCAGAGGAACACCATTCCACTCCAGGACTTGCATTCCTATACACAATTACACATTTGCAAATAAGAAAACAATCAATAATACAGTATTCGTCAAATATGCAAACATTTCACCACAAACCAAATCAAAGCCTTGAAGTGATGAGCTCTTTAAATTATTAAATTTAAAGTCAATAACTTTGTTTTAGACCCAAATGATGGACGGACATCCCTTCAATGATTAAATGAAAAACACAAAAAGCTTTGATTGAATCACTCCAACATCATGCTTCAGGCTGAAAGCCCAAACAGCAGCTGTGTGACTCAGCTGCTAGTGGAGCACTCAGGCACAGAACTGGGTTAAAAGTAACTTGTAAATGGCTCTATGTTATTTCAGCTATAAAACTTTAATTTAGCAAAAATTGCAGGACAACATTTCAAACATGATGCATGACGGCCTGGAAAGGACCCAAAATCCAATCAGATTCTAGTTTCTCTTATCTAGTCCAGCCAAGACAAATGTCTTATGGGGAACACTGGTCATTTATTCATATTTAATGCACGAATGACAGTTCATATAAATCCACACAGCACAGCAAAGCAACTGCATCCTCCAAAGCACACCCTGCGCACCGGCAGGACTTACACGGTTTGAAACAGCTCATCAGGATGGTTCTTTTGCGACGATAATCTCGAGCTGCATGTGTGAGTGAGAGGGAAACGACTGTAGTTTCACCTTTGTATCATGCATTCAGTTGTTGTTCACACTCTATGGCTTGCATGTGTGTTGCAGTTTGTACCGATTTGAGTTACAGTAGCTGGAATTTCAGTGATGAGACAAACAGGCATCTACACTTAGTGTCCCTCTATGACACTCTGCCTCTGCCCCTGTTAAATCTGACAACCGTTCTCCGTATTAACACCCAATACTGAGGCGCTGTGTTCCCTCAGTAGCATTTCTTCTCAGTGTTGATGATAGGGTTACGGCTGTTATGATTGTTTAGTTGTCCAAGCAACTAACAACATGGCAGATCTTGAAATGAGGAGTCATCAACCACTGACTTCTTACAATGCTAATGCATGAGACTAGTGGAAAGGTCTGGACAATGATGCCTGAGAAAGAGTGATATAAGAGAAAAGGCACATTTAAAACACATATTGGTGTAGGAAACTATTATTACATTAACTGTATGTTATGTTACGTGAAATTGTATTGATCCTCAAAATCACTCAAAAGTCAATTTCATAAATACTTTACTTGCAAATATTGGTGGGAGCTATGATGATACAGGGACTGATATATAAATCATATTGTCAGAGTATTGCCAATACACATCCTTAACTGATCCTGAAGTTTCCTTGAGGTATAAACGTATTGATAGTAAGCGGTTAAAGAAAACCGTATCAAATAATAACAAAATACAGTAGGCCTATACTTAAAAGTGTATGTAAAAGCTATACTGCAGTAGTCAAAGTAACAACTATGAAATGTTTGGGTAATTACTGTATATGTCAACACTTGTATTTGCAACACCTGCAAAATTAACAACATCAATTCCCGTCAGCCTCAGCTGTTTAGTGCTAATTAAATGGAAAATGTTAATATGCTAACATGAAGATGATTAGCATGAACAATTAGTCCCTCACAAAGTTGCTGGCTTTGCTTCATTAGTGATCTACTAAGACCCCTAATATTTCCACTGTTGTGATCTGCCGGTGATAATCAAAATGGTTGTATGTGTGCAGTAGGTGTGTGAGAGAATGCATGCAGAACTAGAAGCTAGTTAGCTACGATAGCGTCTTTACACGGAGGAGCGGTGGCTGCTCTGTTGCCTACTTATACCTCATTCACACCAACGCAACTCCGGTTCAAGTTCCGTGCTAGAGCTTTTCAGGTTCAGAACCGGTTCTTCGGTTTACCTCCGGCTCTTTTAATTACTAGTGGTTTTAGATCAGGACCTGGTCTAATGTGGTCTTGATTTTAAAAAAGCAGCAATATCTCCCTTTTTGTATTTTCACAAATAGAATTAAGGTTTCACAAATCTCAAACTGTGTTATAAAGAATCTTTAGCCTCCGTGGGATAATCCAGTCCAGATTTGAGGAGTCTAGGTCTAGTGGTTTTAGATCAGGACCTGGTCTAATGTGGTCAGGATGCGAAAAAAGCACTGAAATCTCCCTTGTTTGTATTTTCACAAATAGAATAAAGGTTTCACAAATCTGAAATGGTGTTATAAAGAATCTTTAGACCCTCTGGGATAATCCAGTCCAGATTTGATGAGTCTAGGTCTAGTGGTTTTAGATCAGGACCTGGTCTAATGTGGTCTAGATTTAAAAAAAGCTGCAAAATCTCCCTTGTTTGTATTTTCACAAATAGAATAAAGGTTTCACAAATCTCAAACTATGTTATAAAGAATCTTTAGCCTCAGTGGGATAATCCGGTCCAGATTTGATGAGTCTAGGTCTAGTGGTTTTAGACCAGGACCTGGTCTAATGTGGTCTAGATGCGAAAAAAGCACTGAAATCTCCCTTGTTTGTATTTTCACAAATATAATTAAGGTTTCACAAATCTGAAACTGTGTTATAAAGAATGTTTAGACCCTCTGGGATAATCCAGTCCAGATTTGATGAGTCTAGGTCTAGTAGTTTCAGATCAGGACCTGGTCTAATGTGGTCAGGATGCGAAAAAAGCACTGAAATCTCCCTGGTTTGTATTTTCACAAATAGAATTAAGGTTTCACAAATCTCAAACTGGGTTATCAAGAATCTTTAGCCTCTCTGGAATAATCCAGTCCAGATTTGATGAGTGTAGGTCTAGTGGTTTTAGATCAGGACCTGGTCTAATGTGGTCTAGATTTTTTAAAAAGCTGCAAAATCTCCCTTGTTTGTATTTTCTACAAAGTAGATTAAAGGTTTCTCAAATCTGAAACTGTGTTATAAAGAATCTTTAGCCTCTGTGGAATAATCCAGTCCAGATTTGATGAGTCTAGGTCTAGTGGTTTCAGATCAGGACCTGGTCTAATGTGGTCTACATGTAAAAAAAGCTGCAAAATCCTCCTTGTTTGTATTTTCATAAATAGAATAAAGGTTTCACAAATCTGAAACTGCGTTATAAAGAATCTTTAGACTCTCTGGGATAATCCAGTCCAGATTTGATGAGTCTAGGTCTAGTGGTTTTAGATCAGGACCTGGTCTAATGTGGTCTACATGTAAAAAAAGCACTGAAATCTCCCTTTTTTCTATTTTCACAAATAGAATTAAGGTTTCACAAATCTGAAACTTTGTTATAAAGAATCTTTAGCCTCTCTGGGATAATCCAGTCCAGATTTGGTGAGTCTAGGTCTAGTGGTTTTAGATCAGGACCTGGTCTAATGTGGTCTAGATGTGAAAAAAGCACCAAAATCTCCCTTGTTTGTATTTTCACAAATAGAATAAAGGTTTCACAAATCTCAAACTGGTTTATAAATCATAT